ACGTATTAAGAGAGGGTTCATTTCCTATTTCATCTCAGCTTCCCATCTTGTTCTGTCATTTTAACTTTAAAAATTCAGCACGAGAGTATATTACCTACAGGCCCACTTATTCTTTAGGATTGATTAACAGAAACAGAGTAATAAAGCAGAACTCCGAGGAAATTTTATCAGCATAGTGAAAGATTGCATTTATTCACATTCTTTGTTTATTCCTTTCTCTCGTCCGGCTAATATTTAAACAACAAAAATCAGAGGAACGAAGATCTACAATTATACGTCGTTTTCTAGTCCAAGAAATAAGAATCTCGTGATATATTTCCTATGATTCCAACCGTATTAAATAATGAAATCATTATAAAAGGTATAATTAGTTCTTTATCAGAGGATATAATGGTATATCACTCATATTATCACAGCCCCAATTTATGATAACAGGATTATAAATATTAAAATAAAAACAAGAAAGAGAGCTATAACGGAAAAACCGACAAATTAATGTCTCTACCCCCCCATAAGTATTATATGATATGAATGTACATTAATAATTAGTAAGGTTCTAAAGTTAATAGATAAAACAGAAAAATTGCCTAGTGTTCTATCCTAATCTGGATTACATTTCCGATAGTGCCTAGGATCAAGCCAATGGAAACCGAACCCAAGATCATGTAATTAGGTTACTAAACTAATAATTGTGGAATGATTGTGAATTCCACACAAGATCTGGGCAAGATCAAATCCTACACACCCCCTTATAGATTATAGAAGAAGATATAAAAGGAATATTTAGTCCTTAACTCTCTTTCTGCCGCCGTAATAAGCTCCCCTATATGAGAGGTCGTATATCTGAGTTCCTCAACTAGAACTGATAATCAAATGCAATTAAGAAATTTCTTAAGATTTCTAATAAGAACGACTCAACAGTGAAAAATCAGATAGCATGGCCTTATTTCATTAGCAACAATCTCCTGAAGAGATATTAATCTGTCCTACACCATATCTGGAAAAATGAACAAATTGTTTAATACCTAAAAAGGAACCACAAGTGAGAGGACAGTTAATATCTAAAGTACATAGACACTAACGAGCCAGGTCAAAGGAGGAACAGAGGAGCCAGGTAGGACGAGGAATGTCCCCAAGTCAAACCAAAGGATCTAGATACCTTATCAAAACTCAATCCAATCCAAGATAATAGGCAAGAATGATAATCCCCAACCGTCTAAACTGAGTCTTAGTACTGCCCCCAATAACAACAACATCAACTCTTCCGAGCCCCCAACTCTCAAAGTCCTGAACTATATCTCTATACCCCAGGTGAAGTCTAAGAAAGCAGCGAAACTCCATTCCATAAATACAAAGATATCCCAACCACTCTATCACCATCTCAGGTGAGTCGAATTAGCGGTTAGATTAATTATCCAAGAGGCAAAAAATCCTACTATTATCAGTCTTCGCACCCCGAAGTCCCTCAAAGCACAGAAAACACTTCACATCTCCAACAGAGAAAAAGCAGGAAAAGTAATAGGAACCTAAGATACGCATGCACGACTCAAACTCACCGAAGGATTCAAATCGTATCCTATTAACTGAAGTATCAAGACTAACAATAAACCAATAGATGCCAAAGTAATTTCGTCTGAACTCAATAACGTCCACACAACTCCCCCCCCAACTACTCCCCCAAGGAAAAACTGAGACCGCCTCTTCCCAGTCAAAACCTTGGAGGGTGACCGCTTCAGCAGGCATTACTCACGAAATAAACGGCCCGAAGTGGATAGGAGTGACTATATTCAAGTAAAGGACCGAGTTGAAGCAGAGCAAGAACTATGCCCCGTCCCTGCACGACCGAAAGAAGAGGAGGCCTATGGACAAGTATCATCTAAAGTGTAGGCCAGAAAACACGCGCAAGACGTAAAGGCTCCCCGTAGAAGCTGCAGATATGAATTCCCAAATAAAACAAACACAAGAACAACTCAGCCAAACAAGCTACACCAAGCGGCATCTCCATCCACACTCCAGCGGCACCCCTCGTTTACCGGGCCCCCCCCTCTGAAGAGTAAACCGAAGCCACTAGATACGATGATAATAGGGGAGTTAAGAGACGGAAATAGATAGAACTTCATCTAACCCAACGCCCAAGAGGAGAAGAGAAGGAACTAGGCTCTCCCAAACAAAAGCATCTCCGCCAAAATAAACAACAACCGTTCAGAACTAGCAACAGCTCAAGGACCAAAGAAACAAGAATCCCCAAAAAGCGAAGTCAAACCAGGACAAGTAACTCCGACGGAGTCAGCCCACCACTAACTAAGAGCAACAAATAAGGAGGATACAGGCGCAGAAAGTAGAGTCGAAAGACCCCCCCAGAATACTCATAGGAATCCGCAGAGTAAATTTAGAGGGAAAGACCAAAAGGCACAAATAACTTCCAATAAGAGGACAAACACTCCATAACCGGCGTCAAGCGCCCAAAAGCAACTGGCTACTGAGGAATACTTTCCGAGCGTATAGAAGTTTGACTCAGCCAAGAAGCAAAGGATCCCTGAAAACTCAAGGAGCAAAAGGATTAAGAAGAAGAAAAGATAAGAAGAGTAATCTGAGTGAAATCAAATCAACTGACGAGAGCATAGCTAACCCCCCCCACCTAGAAGAGCAGTCGGAAAAGTTGCCAAGAGGCCGAACTAACAAGACAGTGGACAAATCCATCTAGGAGAAGTAGCATAGAAGGCCGAGCCAAGTCAACGAGGTTCCTAAGAGATCGTTTCACGACAGGGGGCACCCCCTCTTAACTGAGAGGAGGAGGATATCACCCAAAAGATTCTAGGAGAAGTCCCCCGAAGATTAATCAGGGTGACCGCAATAAATCCAGAAAGAGTCTTCACTGAAGCGAACACAATCCTCCAGATCCTGCGATTAAGGCAGGAGCTTCACGTAGCAGGCACAAGGGACCACATCCCTTTCCAGGATCACAAGGCAACTCTCAGGAAGACCCTGAGGACGAACCACTGAGACCAATCCTAGAGAGTAGTAGGAGTTACCGATAAGGTACATATCAGAGGCAAAAACAAGGCAGGAACTGAATTGAAACACAGCTGACCTCAAAAGGAGGTTCAACAGGAGTCCCAGCGGCAGGTAGGATGATAGGGGACAAGGTACCTCGAAGAAACAGACAGGTAGGGACCCGAGAAACAGGGGCTTAGGTCCATCTAAAAGGAGAAAAAAAAGGAGAGACTCCTGACACTGGCAACCAAAAGGTGCTTCAACAGAGTTTCCAAAGGACAAAAGGAAGAATTTCCTCCCGAACCACATCAAATAACATCCAATCGGACCAATAAGAAATTCCCCAGAAGCCGAAGAATAGCAGTCAATATCGACACCACAAACATCCGTAGCCCCGAAAGAAACAGGAAGCCTAAAGCCGAAAGGAGACAGAACCGATTGGTCAATGATGAATATCTGGAGCAGAGGAACGCCCAACGAGCTAATGCGAAGAAGAAAGCTCAGGAAGGAGTAGGCCCTACCTGAGAAAGTTAAAAGAAGGAGACACAAAGTGACTCCGTTAAAATGACTGAGTAAAGATCAATCTGGTTCGTGAGAATTAGTTTCAGGAGTAAAGGAATATCAACCAAAATCCCTGAAGGAAAAAAACTGGGGCATGGCAGGCAAAGACAACAGAAGACCTACAAGACCAAAATCGGGGCAAAACGTCTGAGACAAAACCAGCAACTAAAGACTAGGGTGAAAATTAGTCGTAGAAGCTGAGAGGAGAAATCCCTTCCGCGGAGATACAGCAGCTGATATCGACCTCGAATTAGTGGTCCCCCCCGAAAACTTCGAAAACAAGAATACAAATACTAGAACCAACTAGAGGAAAAAGCTAGTCCCTGAATCAGCCAACAACTCCTTAATGTGAAGGCGGTTCATAGCTTTGCAGGGACACTATCTCCAGAAGACTTCTTATAACGAAGAAAAAAACAGCAGAACTAGCCGACTTCGGGACTCATAATACTCCAACTAGAGGCCGGGGTAATTCAGAGGCATCAAGTGAGTAGGTAAAGGACGTAGGAGCAGCAGACAAAGACGAAGAAGGACATACAAAGCTAAGGACAAGAACCAAGAAGGACGAAGAAAAGAGACCCCCCAAGCAGCATCAAAGTAGAAGGTGACAAAGATGCTTCTGAAGGGAGAAGTCGAAAAAGTATCAGCAACATACCAAGGCCGATACAGATCCATGAGGAGAAGATTGAGACACATCTCCCTGCCTTATGGAGATAAAGTAAGCAGTGAGAGACGGACCCCCCATCAACTAACCGAAGAGAAGCTAGCTAACAGGAGGCAACAGGACGGATGAATTAGGTGAATCTCATGGAATCTCAGGAACGCGCAGGGAAGTCCGGCTAGTAAGGAAGAGCATCAACAAGCGAAAGCAGATGAAAGCCTGGGTACAATGGTTGATTCCATGACCAATCGTCTACTGCACCATCTCAAAATGGAACAGGGACCGAGACTGACTGAACGAATCGGAGGAAGGTTGAGAAAAAAAGATGGAAGAGAGGCTGAGAACAATGTCGAAGAAGAAAGGAGGGGCAGGAGAAATCGGGTCAGGACTCCCTAGTGAGTTATACCAGCAGTTAGCTCCCCGAATCTAGAGAGGAAGAAATAAACCCCTTAAGAGCACGAGGAGCATCAAGTCCATAACAGAAACATAAGCTCCTCCAGTCCACAATGATGGATGCACCAAGACAACTGGAAACCTAAGAACAAATGCCCGATGAAACCCCCGAAACCTCAAAACTGGTCGACTCCAGAGGGCTCAGCCAGTCGTGGAGGATGACGAAAAAAGAAGCCTTCAGAAGAACGGCGTCACGAAAGATAGGGGCCAAGCGAAGGGTAAGGGACGACAGGCAGGGCCGACAAGGAGAACCCGAAGGGAGAGCCGTAAAGGCAAGGCGTAGGTCGAGAAAGGAGAGGGACTTTTAGGCTTCGTAGACTAAGGAAGACGAAAATTAGAGGGGGTACCGCGGGAGAGGAGAAGCCCGGAGAAAGTGGACGACGTGAAAGTACGACAGGAGGCCGACGTAGAGATGAGAGGAGAGGATTAGGGCCTAGGAGAGGTAAGGGATCCCCCCCGGGGAACATCAGACACCGGAGCTAGACAAGAGGGCAAGAGGAACAAAAGAAGCAGCCGAGGAGGAAATCTCGGTCTGGGATCCACCAATTATCAGGAGAGAGAAGAGAGGAGAAGGTGAGGGTGAGCCGGATCAAGAGGCCGACGCCGCAAGTGTGGGAACAGGCACGTTGTGGACGCTCCTCGTCGTACGGAGGTCCTGTTCCGAGGAGGGAAGAGGGAGTAGGTTCTGAAAGATGAGCAAGGAGAAGGACCTGACCAGATAGGTCCAGGAAATTCTGGGGGCGAGCATAAGAGGCTCCAAAGGGAGCCAAGGGGCCGAACAGCAAAATAAAGAAAGGAGTTAGAGACTGGAGGACAAACGGGAGGCAGGGGAAGAAAGAGGACTAGAGGGACAAATCGAATGGTGATAGTAAAGACTCTAACAAAAAATCTGATCTTCAACATCACGCTAAGATTGAGAGAAGATTAAGAAAAGAGGAACAGCCAGATGATTCAATGTTTGGGGACCTTCAAGTGAATAACCCCGTGACTCTAAGGATAAGGCAGCCCCAGAAGTTCCTCAAAAGAGATACAGGGTGAAGTGAATAAGTCTCAAAGACACCTCAGTTCCAGGAATAATAAGGAACCAGAACAATATGTCACGTGACGGTCTGGAGCTAAAAAGCGAGAAATGGAAGCATGCCTATAGACAGAGCACAAAGGGGGAATGTCAAAAGCATAGTAATCTATATTGTTTGGGAGTCTATGGAAGGGAACGGGGAGCCGTAGAGGGATTTTTGGGAGAGTTGAGTAACGCGGTAACGGCACTGACGACCAGGACAACCTGGCACGACTTTATCTCTAGCGACAGCCCCTTGGGCAAGTATGCTTTAGGTAGGATTGACCGGGAAGGGAACTGGAAGAGGATATTGAGCTGCGTCATGTCAGAGGCCCTGCAGATGAGCAGACTCCAAGGCGAAGGAAGGCCCAAAACTGAGGGACTTTGGAGCACGGGACTCTGGGGTAAAGTGTTAAGAGGAGAGACAGGTGATGATTGGTCAGACTCCACAAAGGGACAGGGGATGATGATGGCAATAGGATGTGTAATAGGAGCTATGATGATGGATGAAGGGAGGCAGGGGGATCTACCTGAGGACGTCAGGAAGATTTGCACCCAAATCTGGGAGACGGTGGCACTAGACCTGCAACAGGAAGACAAGCCCGACGTATCCAAAGAGATAACAGATTTGGGAGGGTTCTTAAGACAAATTCAAGAGGTGAGAGGAGGGGAACAAGGGAGGTATCATGGTCTTGGGTTTCTTTTGAGTATATATTATGGATTGAGCAGGTGCTGTGCATATAAGGGGAAGTATGAGTTGAGTAGAATCCTGAGGAGAAGTGGTTGGGAGTTAGGAAACATGGGTGCGTGTCATATAAGGGGCCAAGTCTTCACGTGCAGGGGTGACCCGCAGGGGGTCCAAGATGCCACACTAAACATCTGGACCAGGCATCCAAAGAGTTTGATAACGAGTCAATTAAGGCCCCCACCTAAGTCCGCGAGTCTCAAGGATGGTAAAACGGGAAAGGAGCTGCCATCGGGTCCCCCCAGCAAGCAAATGAGCCAAAGGGACCAAGAAACAGCGGAAAAATTGGCGGCCATCATGCAGGGAAGAACTCCAAATCAAGGCATAGTGGCAGTCACAGGAAAAGCGACTGGACTCTCAAGCCAGGACATACAGAGACCTCTGGACGGGCTGAAGCAGGGCTCAGCAGCCAAGTCTCAAGGCCCAGAGCACCGTTCCCAGGAAAATTCAATGGTACCAGGAACGGAGAGTGTTGGTCCTAGAGTGACTGAGTCTTCAGAAGAGAAGGATGCAAGGGAAATCCCGACAATAAAGCCAGCGGCCCCAGGGCCCCAAGAAGGTAGCGAACAACTCCCTAGACAAGGGGCAGGAGGTGATGTACAAATCAGGCAGGGACAAGGACCTCCGATAATCCCCCCAGTGCTAGACGAAGGACACGACGAGCTGCCAGGCCCCTTACCAGATGAGTCAGCTATTTCCGGATCCGAAGGAGCAGTAATAGGGGGGGTTCTGGCCTCACTCCTGGCAGTAGGGAGTTTTTATGGTCTCTCCAGGATATATAACAGGCGAATGTGGAGCAGGGTGGCCTTAAAAATAAAAAGGAACAAACCAGGAGCAAGGGTAGGGTACCAAAGTTATCGAGGGAAAACGTAGGGCATAGGATTGCGGTATGAAGCAGGTTAGTTATATGTTTCTGGTATAGATCGAAGAAACAGCCCTAGCAGAGAAGTAACTATCAGCGCAAGCCGTACGGACACATCCTGAGCCTGACGGAGACCATGAAGGTGGGTCATGTAATGCAGAAGTTTCCTAGAGGGGGGGTTAGAAACCACGTGGTCTGGCAACGGGTCTTCCCAACTCTCCCGACCAAGGCTAACTAAGGAACGGACCCCGTCATTCGGTCTCCCGAAGGTACAAGGATCGAATTTGTCAGAAGGCGATGAAGGATTCCTGTATGGGTTAGGGACCATCTGACCGGTGGGCCAGCCAGACATATGAACCAGGGGGTAGAATTAGGCTAGAACTAATAGACCATTGTTGGATCCTGGCTTCCATAATGAAAACTGAAATCAAGGAGTTCGGTACAGTGGAGTCAGGCCACCTTTGAAGTTAGGAGTCCCCCCAACCCATGTGGGAGGCCCAGGCGACTAACCAACATGATGATCCGTAGTATCTGGCCTATTCCGTGACCGTCGAACACTTCCAGCCGCATAGTCTCCGCTTCAGGACCAGCGCTTAGGGTCCATCTTTCTAGAGTGAGGCGTTAGAGTCCGGGCTTATGCGGTTAACTTTGTGATTCCGGTAAGGAAAAATTACGGATGCAGAGGGAATGTCGGGAGTTATGATTTGGGCTAAGGCACTCATAGATTTAGGCTTCATGATTTCAGGTTGAACGATTCGGTGAGTTCTGGGGGTTGAAGTCTAGGATTCGCGGGTTAAGATTCAGGCTTAGCTCTATGGTTCAGGGTTTAGGACTAGCCTTAACGTTCAGAGTTTAGGTTTAGGTTTGGTTTAGGTTTAGGGTTCTGGGGTCAGGGTTCAGGGATCAGGGTTTAGGCTTTTGTTTTAGGGTTCAGGTTTAGGGTTTAGGGTTCAGGGATTAGCTTTAGGGTTTAGGGTTTAGTTTTACGGTCTAGGTCTCATTGTTTAAGCTGTACTTTTGATGATTTAGTGTCCAGGGAATTCTGGATATGTGTCAGGCTTTAGTCTATCATTATTAGTGGTTTACGCTGCAGGAATCCTGGTTGTGTGTCGTGGCTCTAGCGGCTAGGCTCTAGATGCTAGGGTTGTTTCTCTAGTGGCGAGGGAGTTGGGGCTTACCTTTCAGGGGCAAGTTGTTGGTGTTGGGTTCAGGTTTAGAGAAGATGCTTCGGGGTTTAGGCGTTAGCAGTCTCTTCTTGTTTGCTGCTCTTACCGGGTACTGTCCAAGGCTATTTGGAGGGTTGAAGGTTTATTTCCTATGGGGGAGGGCTTACATTTCATGACTCATCCTCTATCGTGGAGGTTTATGTTTCAGGTATTACGGTGTAGTTTTATGCAGTGGTGGCTTAAGCTTTACGGATTAGACTTCTATGATCCTGTACTTTGAGTTTTCGGAGGTTAGGCGATAATTTTTATCCTTTTGGGTCCCTTTTGGCACAAGTGTGCCGTATAATGATTTAGGGAGATGTGATTTTGCCTCATGTTTTGCCTTTAGGATTTATTTTTCATTGTCCAGGTGTCCGGAAATGACCTGTATGGTTCATGTTTTAAGGTCTACATGTTATAGATTCTGGGGGATCGACTCCTTGAGAACTTTGGTTTGATTGTCTGTTTCGTTTATGGGGTTGTGCTTATGCCTAAGGACTTAGCTTTGCTTATTGGGGTTTTATCTTTCAGGGGATAGGTTGTCCTGGGGGGGCGCTATCATTTGGGTTCTTGTGATTAGCGGTCATGAGCTTGATCTAGTGGGGTATCTGATTATTGGGGGGGTAGCTGGTTTCTTCTTATTGTCTCGGGGTTAGGGGGGGCCACATGTCTGTCTTGTTCACCTCTGCTGCGTAAGTTTTAGTGCTCACTAGTGAGAGTGTTCAGTGTTCTACTCCTGGAGCTAGTTTTGAGATTTTTTCCTTTCCTTTTTTTTTTTCCTGGCACCTATCTTTCCTCTGATTCTTCATCCGCACGGTTGATAGGT